CCCCCAGCCCTGTGCCCCTTAAGGTGGTCGCCTCCAGCCTGGACACCCTGCGGGCCGAGATCATCCAGGACTTTGTAGGGGTGGAGGACCTCAAGGAAAGCCTCAAGTCCAGCGCCATGGTGCCCAGCCTGGCCGGCCAGCCGCGCCTGCACCGCGGGCACAGGTGCCGGGGACAAGGAGGGGGGGGGGGTGGCGTGCGCGGCGTCGGCATGGGTGGTTGCGGTGCTGCTGGGCAGATGTGCGAAGGAATCCGTATATATGTCTGTGTGCGTGTGTGTGTGTGTCAGTGGCGGTGTGTGTGTGTGTGAATATGTGTGTGTGTGTGTGTGTGTGTGTGTGTGCGCACGCGTGTGTGTGGCTGCGTGTTGAGAGAGGACTGCTGCGCATGCTGCTGACTTCAGTCGCTGACCCTGCGTTAAACGCCAGCCAACCACGATTTCCGCTGCTGCAGGTTTGTTGACGCGGCCGTGTTTGAGCCAATCCCGGTCAAGTCTGCTGTGCGGGACGGCTGCACCCACGTGCTGGCGCTCTGCAGCCGGCCAGCCAGCAGTGGGCCGGCGTGGGGCAAGCTGCTGCGGCGCACGCTGACCGCTACAGTCAAGGTGGGGGGGGGGGCGCAGCGGGGCGGCTCCGATGGAGAGGTGCAGGGAGTATTGTGAGGTATCTGCTCTTTATCGGCATTGTGATTGCGGCTGGTGTGCCTGCTGTGCCAGGGGTTGGCAGCCCAGCACTTCGGCAAGACCAGCCGCGTGCTTCAGATCCTGAGAGTCATCCCTCGCCCCGCCGCCGCCCGCCCCGCTGCTGTGTCACCGTCCCTACTTCTTTTGGCCCCAGCACATCATGTTTTCACCGGTGAGAGCCGCGGGGTCATTTGGAGGTGCAAAACCCTAAACCCCATGGACAACCCAGGGGCTTCGAGCCGCGGCTTGAACATCAGTTTCCGTGTCCGGCGGTCGGGCACCCAGCCCCTTGGCGCCGATAGGGCCTGCAAATCGGGACCAGCTCGCATTCACACCCTTCCGAGATCTGCGTTGCAGCAAGCGCATCAGCAGGACAGGCACCCGCCATCCACCTGGCTAGTTTGACCGTGGGGAGTTTTTGCCTCCACAATGAGTGGGCTCACTCTATCTCCCCGTGCATCCCACTCCGGCCCCAACACCAACCTCCACCCCTGCCGCACCCCCACGCTCCCCCCCCAAAACTCCCCACCCCCGCCCCCCAGCCCTACATGAAGGAGGCCTGGCGCGTGGAGCACCGCCACACCACCCATCAGGGCCAGCCGATGGAGGAGGTCCTCACAGCCATGGCCACTGGCCGTGCGCAGTCCACGCTCGACCTATCAGACGAGGACCGCCCCCCCGGCGGCCCGTCCCCCTCGCCCTTTGCCTCCGCCTCCGCGTCCCCTTTCGCCAGCGCCGGCGCGTCCCCGCGCGGCGGCAGCCCCGCCGCGCTGGCCTCGGCCGACGGCGGAGAGCCCGGCAGCGCGGCGCCGCTGCTCGGGCGCGCGGCGGCGGAGGCGGCGGAACTGGCGCGGGCGGAGGTCGTCGACATGGCCGGCTGCCGGCGCGCGGAGGGCGTGCTTGCCGCGGACGGCGTCGGCGGCAGCCACATACTCCCAGTCTACCCCTCCGCCGCGGCCCAGTTTGCGCCGGTGTGCACGCACGTGCCCACGCTGCTGAGGGCGCGGGAGGATGGGTTTCAGGCGATACAGCGGGTGCTGCTGCCCGCGCTGGCGCCAAAGCCGAGCTGCCGGTGACGCGGCTGCCGGTGACGCCGGTCGCCGGCGACGCCGGGCGCCGTCGGCGCGCCCGTCGGTGACGCGCCGGCCGGCCGGTGACGCGGGCAGCGAGCGGGCGCCCAGGTGGCGGCTGGTCGTCCTGATGGCGCCCATCGGCGGCTTGCCGAGGAAGTGGAGGCCTACCCTTTGTGGGCGCCGCCCTGCCCAGCCAGCAGCTGGCTGAAGTTGAGCTTTTTGACCATTCAGAAGCAGACTCACGGGAGTCCGCCGCAGTTTGGGCGGGCGCTTTGCTCCTGGCTGCCTGCACGGCTACCCACACCCAATCCCAATCTCACGCGCGCCGAGCGCTGCTGTTGCTGCGGGGGCTGGCGCGGCAGCGACCTGTGCGAAGAGGTCCCGCCTGCCGCCCACGGCCTTGCTGCACCTGCATTGAGTGGCCTGAGAGCTTCACATGACAATCCTTTGGTCAAACCGCGGCCCCAAGCCTGACGCGGCTCGCGCGCCGAGGAGGGGCACGCACCCCTCTCCCCACTCCCCACCACAGCCGCCGCCTGACCGCACCCAAAGAGCTGACCTCAATAGGACCCACCCAAGCTCCAGCAAAGGCTTGCCTGTCGGCTCAGTATACCCTTCAATTTCCTTACTCATGTGCCTGAGCTGCATGCACGGCTGGCGGCGCAGCCGCGCGGCTCACCCGCGCGCCCGCCTGCACGGCGGGGCGCCCGGCCCCCCGGCGCCGTCCCTGCCTCAATCGGAGGCGCCTGTCTGCCCCAGCGCTTCGCCTGTGTCGGCAGGGCGCTCTGCATGGCCGGTGCAAGCTGGGAGAGGCGCAGGGATGGGTTCCTGAAGTGGCGTGCAGGAAGGGCAGGGGTATGCATGAATCACTTGCTTTCAGAAAGGGCCATCTGCCCTCAACGCCTGCCCTAGGGACTTTGTTGGGCTGAGGGGTCCGTCATTCAGAAATGATCTCTACATAGGGCAGAGCTAGAGCGCGCGCGGCCGCGCCGCATCCGCGTCAGAGCGGGGCGGCGCGCTGCGGCGGCCGGCTGGTGCGCCTTGCACCGCCCCACGCGAGGAAACTTGACTGGTGCCTCCCTAACATTCACAGCCCAATCCCACGCCGCCACGCCTGCACGGGCCATCCAAACATCGATCACCTAGAAAGGCGTGCAGCTTCCTGGCTGCGCCGCCCCCCACTTGCACCCATCTTGGGCTTGCGGGGGCGGTGCGCCGCCCGCGGCGCGGATGGAGCCTCAACATTACATGCGGCGATCCCTTTGCGCGCGCGCGCGCGTGGTTGCGACACACCACGGCGCGCTCGCTCCCGCGGCCAGCTGAAACTTACCTTAGGTACACATATTATGAGATATTGAGCAGCCACATGTAACATACTCGCGTTTCCTGCCCACAGGTGGGATGCCAATATCTTGCGGTGGCGACGATGTCCAGGTTTGCTCACAACTGCTAAGAAGTTGCTCGGGCCATGCTGGACCCATAGACTGCGAATGCTGTTAGCTCAAGGACCTCAGATTTCCAGGATATCTTAGCATGACCGATTGCCTCCGTAGGGGCCGGCACGTTGGACTCGCGTCCAAGAGCAGCTGGTGGGCAGCTGGGCCGCCGGGCCGCACCAGGAACCTCATCACAATCTACTAGAACTGAGCAGAGTGTCTTAGTTGCATAATTCTGCATAATAGATTAATACCGCTTGCTAGCATTTCCTCGTCCTCAGTTGCACGCCTTTCCGGGGGACCAAACCGCCCGCGCTGAAGGTGCGCGAGCATAAGTGTGATCAGCCCCAATAAGATAAATCAGGTTTCATATGTGCACTGGCTAGCTGATTCGTGGGCAGGGGTGCCGGGTTGTAGCATCCAGCAGATCGTCCCGAGGGACTCTGGCTCTGCCGCGGCTTACGGGCAACAGCCGGACATGAGAAGAAAAAAAGTTATCAAGACGGTGCTTTTGTGCACTTGTCGTCGTATGCCAGCAGCGTGCGCACATGACAAGTTCGTAACCACCGCCACCCCCTTTGCCCCGGTGCCCCGCTTGACCACCGACGCAGAGGAACCCGCAAGCAACCAGGGCGATCCAATATGAGGGTAGTAGCGGCACTGCTGGTCGCCTGCTTGGCGGCCTCGGCCCTGGCGCAGGATGCCGCCAAGGCCGCGGCGCCTGCCAAGCCCGCACCCCCTGCAGCCCCTGCCGCCACACCAAAGGCCGACCCCGCAGTGGCGCCTAAGGCGGTAGCCCCTGCCACACCTGCTGCTAAGCCAAGTGCCCCTGTCGCGGCTGGTGAGCCTTCATGCGTGAGGGCGCCAGGTCGCCAGGGGCGTGATTGTGTTGCAAACTTGCTCTCGCACGTCCGCCGCACACTCACATGGACGGATGCACACACAGACAACGCACGCACAAACGCATGGCTGATGCAACTGCCTCCACTAGCCAGACACAACTCATTCTGAGGCCACATGCACCCTCGCCACCCGGGCGCGGTTGCAGGCGCCCCTAGCCAGCAGTCCAGCGGCCCGGCCGAGCCCCGTTGGGCGGCGATGACCGCCAAGATCGCGGGCATGGCGGGCATCTGCAACAAGCTGACCCAGAAGTGGCAGTGCAACAGCGGCAGTCAGATCTGCACATGGGACGAGGCGCAGGTGGGGCCGGGCGGCCAGGAGCAATCGGTTGCCGGCAGCGGCAGCGCCGGTGCCACAGCAGGGGCGCCAGCACGCCCAGGATGCCTCTGCTGCGATGTCTGTTTGCGCAGGGGCCGCGTTTTTCATACCGGGGTTAGCTGGCGTCCATCTGGTGCCATGGCATGCCATGCTGCGCAGCGCCAGGGCACCCGCAACGCGCAGCGCATCGCTCAGCACCGCCGTTGCCATCTGCAGCGGCCCTCGCCCCGATCTCGGTCATGCGCCCTGGCTGCATCAGGCCTGCAGTCATCGACAAAACTGCGGCCGCCCCCGGTCCTGGCCCCCCACCCCGAACCAAACCCCGCAGAAGCCCCCGTGCGTGGTCCCCGAGAGCTTCGTTCGCAGCAAGCTCATATCCTCCGTCCCCTGCCCCGGCAGCCTGATGGAGGGCTGGTTCGCCTGCACCGCCGCCAACAACAACAAGGGCGCGTGCCTGGCCAAGAAGGCCGCCTGCACCTGGACCGACTGGGGCAACTACACCAGCCTGCCGCTGCCCACGCGCCGCCGCATGCTCGTCGACGCAGGGGAGGGCGAGCCCGGCGCGTGCCAGCTGACGGAGGTGTTCCTCAGGCGCAAGGGCGAGGAGTGGGACGCGCTCAGCACCCTGGCCTTCCAGATTTCCCACCTGGACAAGACAGGTGCGTGCTGGACTCGGCCGGGCGCTGCGCTGTTTGGGCGGGCGCCGCGAGTGCTGCGCCGGCAGGGCCCACCCACGTGCGCAGCGGCGGCCGGCTGCGCGTGCGGCCTGTGTGTGGGCGCCATAGTCATCGTCGAGCGTCGCGGCAGGCGCGGCATACATGTGGAAGGCAAGCTCGCACCGGGCAGCAGCAGCCTGCTCGGCTGCGGCAGATGGCGAGATGCGCCCATGCGCACGCATGCGGCCCTGGCTGCATCTGAACCCCACAGCTCTTGTCCTCTGACCTTTCAAGGCTTCAAGATGTGTCATCGCCGTCAAACAACCTCCGCTATCCAACCCAACCTCTTCCCTGTCTCGTCCCGCAGTTTGGGGCGACTGCTCGACGGTCAAGCAGCTCAACACCCTGGTGCCCCCCGCCTCCAGGCAGCCCTGCGCCGCTGCCCGCACCAAGGCGGCCTGCGTCGTGGCCGCGCCGCTCTGCGCCTGGCAGGTACGGAAGCCCGGGGACGCGGCCTCCGACGCCCTCTCCAGGCACTGGCCCGAGGGCGACTGCGCCACGACCTGCAACACCACCGACCGGCCCACGTGCGACAAGTACGGGGACGAGTGCATGTGGGCGGCCGCGGCCGGCGCCTGCGCGGTCAACGACGGCAGCGCGTCGCGCGACGCCGGGCCGGCGGGCAACGCGACCGCGGCCGGCGCGCCGGCGAGCCCTAAGGCGGCGTGCGCGGACCAGGGCAGGGGGGATGCCCGCGTGGCGTGCGCCGCTGAGTCAGCCATCGACGACGCGGCGTTCACGCTCATCCAGATCTCAAAGGAGGCCGCCTCCAAGGAGGAGGCCCCTGCCGCCGCCAACGCGACCGAGGCGCCGGCCGCGCCCAAGAACGGCGCGGCAGCGGGTCGCGTCGGCGGTGCGCTGGCGGGCCTTGCGGCGCTCGCGGCGGCCGCGCTGCTGCTCTGAGCGCGGCGCGGGGCGCGCTGTCAGGCGCCTGGGAGGGACATGATAAATTGCAAACTATGCGGTACTGTGCGGCTGACGAGGGGGCTGCCAGGGCAGCCCGCTGACCCGGCTTGGCCCTCAGGGGAAGGGGGCTGGGCAGTTTATGCGGCAAGGGATTGCTTGCAGCCGGCCAACTGTGTGGTGTCGACGGCTCTAGGTCTGGATTACCCATTTAGTCTGAGTTGGCGATTGTGCATGGACAAGCCAACTAGCAACGCGCGTGCGGCTCGCAGACACATGCAGCAACAATTGACTTGACCGCACTGCGACCTAGCAGTCTGACGGGCCCGGCGCTTTTGTTTGGTTCCGCCTCGACCCGCTTGCGACTTGACGGCGACTAATCGCGGCAGCGGGTGACCACGTGGTTTCGGGCGCTGCCGTGGTTGTTGTAGGCGCGGCTGCTGCTAATTTGCAGGCGCGCCCCGAAGTGAATGTGTAATCCAATGGCTAGCCTGCAAAGGTGAATCGAAAGGGTTTGCGATTGAGGCAGCGGGAAGCTGCTATGAGAAAAGGAAGATCGTATGCAAATGACAATGTGAGATGATTGTGTGTACGTGCGTGTGTGTGTGTGTGTGTTGGGTTAAGCAAGCGGGTTTGGCGGCTGCATAGTGCTGTCACTGAAGTCGTGGTTGAGGGGGACGCGGGCGGCTCTGGCGCGACGTTAGAACTTCGGGCGTGAAGGGGGCGGCCAGTGTTGTCATGGCTGCATTGCTTGTGGGCTTTTGCACCAGGGGCAGTGCAGGCTACGGGTAGGTGTTCCTAGCATCAAATGTCCAAGGTTTGCCTTCGCGACGCACCCTACGGCCCAGCCTACTTCTGGCCTCCTGGCCAGTTGGGGGCACTGAGTGATGGATGTCAACCGTGGCTGGGGTACTGTACTTGATACCACGGCACAGGGTGCTAGACATCGCAAGGCGTGCAGCAGACTAGAGGTACTTACTGCATCCACCAAGGAACCGCATACTCATGTCCTGTTGGGCTCCCGCGCAGCAAAAACTAGTCATTACGATGTTGAGTTTGAAGTGCACGCCTTGCTGTGCTGCAAAGCGCGATACATATGTCGACTGAAAATATCATTCACCCGAAATCAGTTGAGCAATTGAGTTGTCGCCCACCCCAACACGAGATCGCTTCAGGAAGCACTCGTGCCATTGGCCTATGATCCCCGTCGAGCACTCCCCACGCCACTCACCTATCAAGCTTATTCGTAGTGCCAGAGGCCAGCCCGCCGCTACTCCGTCCCGTTCGCACATGGCGCCGTCGTCGGACGATGGCGCAGCTGCAGCTGGTCCCAGCACCAGCAGCGGCGTGGGCGCCAGCAGGCGGGACAGCATGGAAGACCTGGAGCGCGCAGCCCTCATCGACCGGCGAGGCAGCAAATCCATTTCAGGGCTCGGGCCAGGGCGGGAGGTGCGTCGCGGCCGATCGAGCACATGGCAGGCTCTGTTGACGTTTCTGCTGGCGCAGCTGCCTTGCCTGGCACGGCCCCCTCGAGGCGGCCGTACAGCTGAGCGCCGCCTGACTGCATGCATGATCACAGGCATTCTATCAGATCGTCCACAGCTGGTTCTCACGAAAATTTGCGACCGGATGGTAAGCCGCGGCCGTAGATGGTAAGCTGGCGGCAAGCGACCTGCAAGCGCAACGGGGACAGCACAGCGCGCCCGCGCTCGACAGAACGCCAGCCCCCCACATGCGCATACGGCCTGAGCCCGTAAACCCGCGTGGCTGAGGGCAGCTAATACGACGCCGTTAGCAAGCAGCCGCCGTCCACGGCACGGGTGCGGCTCAGGCGCATTCCTCCGCGCGCCTCTCTTGCTTTTTGGTGGGCCGCAGCGCCATCCTGCTGCCCATTGTGATCACATTTTACGTGACCTACCACTTTTTGGAGCTTTTCGACGGCCTATTTTCGGTGAGAGGGTTGCGCCACAGCAGCGCGTGGGGCTGTCTGGCAGGCTGCTGTGGCGGCCGACGTTCAGAGCATAGGGCGTCAGGCAGCGGCGGTGGTAAGGGCTCGGAGACGCCTGGGTGCAGCTGAATGCTGTCGAGGCAATGCTGCATAGGCCGTAGGAGATTTGCTTGGTTTATTCAACAGTATCACCAGCAGCAGCAGCAGCAGCAGCAGCAGCTGCAGCAGCACGTTGCAGCGGGCTTACCAGGGCCGCTCGCATGCCCACGCACCTCACCCCGCAGCCACTGTACAAACATTTCTTTGGCATCGAGATGTTTGGGCTCGGATTCGTCACGTCAGTGGTGAGGCGCCCACCCCGTGATGTCATTGGCTGTGTTGTGCGGAGGCCTGGCCTTGAGGCGGCAGGCAGACGGCGGACTAAGGCGCGGCTGTGGGTATGCGCCCACACACACGTGCAAGGACTTTCCTGCGCATATTTGGTCCACCGACCCCCCATTCCTGCCACATGGCAACCCCATCTGCCACCCTTGCGCCTGAGACCGCACACATGCAATCGCACGCACAGGCATGCATGCATGCGCGCGCGTGCGCACACACACACACACACCATCTTTCCTCCCTTTCTCTCTATCCTCCCCCTCCTACTTCCTCACACACACACACCCAAATGCACCTGCACACGCGCACACACGCACGCACACACACACACACACACACACACACACACACACACGCACGCACGCACACATCCACGCACGCACGCACAAACACATACACACACACGTACGCGCGCGCACCTAGGTCTTCATCACCACGACGGGCGTCTTCTTCTCCAGCTGGCTGGGGGAGTGGTTCCTGGCCTTTGGGGAGTGGTTCATCAAGCGGGTGCCCCTGGTCAAACACCTCTACGGAGCGGCAAAGCAGGTGGGCGCCTCCATGCCGCATTCCTCAGAAACTCTGAGGCGATAGAACCTCTGAGGCGATTATATCCAAGCTGATTGGTGCTCGCCAGACCGCGTTCAGCTGTGAATGCAGGTGCGCGCAGGGCTGGCGCCGCATGTGCGCGCCAGCACCGAGATCTGACGCCTCCCGCGGCGGCGGCATGATCTCCCCCCTGCCCCCTGCCC